ATTAGAGGAACAGAAAGGAGAAGTTCGTGGAGCAGAGTGACTGTGGAGAGACAGCAGGAGAATCCCCATCCCAACCCCACCCTGACTTGACTCAAAGGCCAGCCTGCACCCCACAGACACCCAGGGGGATCCCCTGTCAGAAGAGCTAACTCCAAACCAAGAAAACCCCATCCCACCCACCACTCTCAACAAATTCCTCCCAGCTATAGTCAAATACAAGCCTTTTCATCTCAAGGAGATTAGTTTAAAAAAAAAAATTGGACAGCTCTGGGTAACTTTTCCTGCCCGGCAGAAACAGGCCAGAACTTTATGGCTTCCTGACAGCTGGTTATGAATGGGAAGGAAGGCATATTCTTAAACTGCTGACAGTAACTCCCTTTTAAGGTATTTCCTCGGGGCCAGCGATGTCACATTCTCCTCCTGCCCAACAAATTAACAGTAGTTTGTATTCCAGCAACAAGCTCGGGCTTTTGAGTCCAGCAGGCCTGGGTTCGGATCTGGCTCTGCCATTTGCCGCACAACCCTAAAAATCCTGCCAAGATCACTCACTCTTTCTTCCAGGGCCCTGGCGGTGACCGAGATGGCACAATGTGGGTAGAAGGGCATGCCACAGGGATGGGCAGAAGCCCCTGCCCAGCACCAGCACACTGCGTGGGTAAAGGATGTTGGCCAGATCTCCCAGTGTTTCAAAAGAAAAAATTGTATGTGCAATCTCCCAGTTTTTAAAGGTCAGCAACTAATTTTAAATTAATTTTTAAAAAATTTAACTCAGTAGGGACAAATAAAACGGGTCTGTGTGCCAGAGCCCACCTCCTGGCCCAGGGGTGCCTATGATGTCTTCAAATCACCCAGCAACCACCTGGCACGTTCTAGGTGCCCAGCAAGCATTGACGGTTCCCATCTTCTCAGGAAGCTTCCACGGGCATCATCAACATCTCTTTCCACACAACAGCTTGGGGAAGGATGCTTTGCAAGAGGAAAATGAAGATAGGAGAAGAGTGAAAAATCTGGAAGGCTCTAAGGGAGGGAGGAACTGCAAAGAGGGAATTCCTTAAAAGGACTTAAAAGAATTTTATTGGACATTGTTTAGCACAGTCAGGGATAAGATCAGGGAGTAATTTAACTCCTGGGTACAGTGAGTGAGTCTGTATGTTTCGGGTAAGGCAGGACTGGGCGGGGGGCATTGTCCACACAGTGTACCGGGCCTTCTGTCTGCAGGTCACTGTGAAATCTGACTCAGGTGCACAGTGTTCTATTAAGCCCAACCCTGTCTCTAGAGGTGGTCATTAGGTCCCATGGATCCTACATAAGGAGAAGCTGGCTTGAGTCTCTCCCAAGACCTCATGAGGGCTCGGAAGCCAGACTGAGCTGGATAGGGGTTCACACCATCAATATCAGTGGTTCTCAAAGTGGGATCCCCAAACCTGATGCATTAGCATCAGCAGGGAGCTCCTCAGAAGGACCCTGCGTCAGACCCACTGAATCAGCTGCTCTGGGGTCGGTGCAGCTGTCTGGGTTTTTAAAAGCCCTCAGGGGGATTCAGGTGCACAGTAGAGTCTGAGTACCCCTGAGCTGCATCCTCATCCTGTGACCATCAGCGAGGAGTCTCACTCTCTGAGGCAGTCACATCTGTTCCAGAAAACTGTCCTGAGTTCCCCCAGGAATTATTTAAGAAGCCTGCTCTGTATGTGCCTAGCAGAGTGGAAGCTGCTGGGGTGGGAAGAGATAGCACACAGTCCTCGCCCTGATTGAGCTGGTTTCCCCGTGGGGGCAGAGATAATATATGCAAGTAAAAAAGATAAAAACGGGGCCAGGCACAGTGGCTCACATCTGTAATTCCAGCACTTTGGGAGGCCGAGGAGGGTGGATCATGAGGTCAGGAGATCGAGACCATCCTGGCTAACATGATAAAACCCTGTCTCTACTAAAAATACACAAAATTAGCTGGGTATAGTGGCACATGCCTGTAGTCTCAGCTACTTGGGAGGCTGAGGCAGGAGAATCACTTGAACCCGGGAGGCGGAGGTTGCAGTGAGCTGAGATCATGCCACTGCACTCCAGCCTGGGCAACAGAGCTAGTTTCCACCTCAAAAAAAAAAAAGATAGAAACAGGGCCAGGCACAGTGGTTCACATCTGTAATCCCAGCACTTTGGGAGGGCGCAGTGGGTGAATGGCTTGAGCCTAGGAGTTCTAGACCAGCCTGTCTCTGCAGAAAACATTTTTTAAGTTAGTGATGCATGCTGGTGTGTGATAGTCCCAGCTACTTGGAATTCTGAGGCAGGAGGATCCCTTGAGCCCAGGAGTTAGCAGTTGCAGTGAGCTATGATTGCACCACTCCACTCCAGCAGGTGACAGAGCCAGGCCCTATCTCAAAAACAAGATAGAAACAGCAATTTTCTGGCTGGGTGCAGAGGCTCACACCTGTAATTCCAGCATTTTGGGAGGCTGAGGCTGGTGGATAACCTGAGGTCCAGACTTTGAAACCAGTCTGGCCAACATGGTGAAACCCCGTCTCTACTAAAAATACAAAAATTAGTTGGGCATGGTGGCGCACACCTGTAGTCTCAGCTACTCAGGAGGCTGAGACAGAAGGATCACTTGAACCCAGGGGGACGGATGCCGCAGTGAGCTGAGATTGTGCCACCGCCCTCCAATCAGGAATACAAAGCAAGACTCTGTCTCAAAAAACAACAACAAAAACAATTTTCAGATGGGAGAGGAAGGCAGAAGCCTGATCCACCACAAGAGCAGTGTTTCTCAGGCCAGGCATTGTGGCTCACGCCTGTAATCCCAGCACTTTGGGAGGCTGAGGTAGGTGGGAGGTCAGGAGTTCGAGACCAGCCTGACCAACATGAAGAAACCCCATCTCTGCTAAAAATACCAAATTAGCCGGGTGTGGTGGCGTAGGTGTGTAATCCCAGGTACTTGGAAGGCTGAGGCAGGAGAATTATTTGAACTTGGGAGGCAGAAGTTGCCGTGAGCCGAGATTGCGCCATTGCACTCCAGCCTGGACAACCAGCGAAACTCTGCCTCAAAAAAGAAAAAAAAAAGGCAGTGTTTCTCAATATGTAATCCAGGGACCCTCTGACCCCAAAAGCCCACCCTACCCCGCCTGGGTCCCTCCTCTACACTGTTGGATGGTCTCCTTGCTGTTTCTCAGTCATGCCTCCCTCTCTCCTGCTTGAAGCCAGTGCCTTTGATGGTCTGTCCACCTAGAAAGCTCTCTTCCCATCTTGCGAGATGGTCTCCTTCTGGCCCAGGGCTCCATGTAACCATCACCTCCACAGGCGCCCTCTGCCATTATTCTATCTAAAGTAGCGTCTCTGGCTTCTTTCTGCATTCATGTATTTCAGCAGTTTGCGGGTTCTGCCAAGCCTCCAGCAGAAGGTGAGCTCTTGGAAACAGGTCCTTGGGCAGATCCTGTCTGTCCTGGCGTCCACGTCACCAGTAAGCTAGTGTTTTTATTGTTCTTGTTGTTTTAGGGGCCAGATCTGGCTCAGTCACCCAGGCTGGCGTGCAGTGGTGCCATCAAAGCGCAATATAACGTGGAACTCCTATGCTCCTCCCACCTCAGCCTCCTAAGAGGCTGGGACTGCCGCACAAGCTACTGTGCCCTGGGCTCATTTCTTAGGGTTAACCCTAACCCACTTGATGAGCACCCACAACTCCCCAACCCATGCCCCACTCTTAAGCAGAAGGCTGGTCAGCCCCAGGATTTCTTCGTGTCCTTTCTTAGTTCTCTGATGATGGGAAAAGTAGAGGCAGAAAGGAAAAGAGGAAGAGAGTGCAAGGCCCTAAGAGGCCTTCCCTGCCAGCGGCACCCTCTCCTCCCCGACAGATTACTCCATAGCAACTTCCAGCATCTGTGCAGCATCCTACCCACTCTGGCACAAGACCCCAGGACCCCAGGACCTGGGCCAAATGCCCTGCCCCGGCCAAGGGAGTGGAAGAGGAAATGCGGGTCTGCTGGCCTGGGCGGGCTCTGGGCCCTGGCCCAGCCGGACTGGAGGGAACAGCACCTGGCACGGTAGTACTGGCCCTAGGAAGTTGGCACAGCAAGATGCTGGCAGCCCCTGGGCGGCGGTGGCAGGAAGGACCCAAGGACAACATTGTTCTAGGATATGGAGAAAAGGCGTGCGACATGTCACACCCAGGATGTGAAAGCTTGTTTGCAGCGTGGGGCTGCAGGGCAGCAGCGTGTGGAGGGCCCTAAGGATGCAGTATTTGGCCGGGGCGGGAGGGCGAGGGGCCCAGAGGCAGCCGTGCACTTGGACTTCCAAGGAAAGGCAGGAGACAGAGCGCATGTGGTCCCTGGGATGTGTAAGCGCGTGGAGCGCGGCCCCGGCGCAGCGGAGAGTGGGGTTTTAAGTCCCTGACACAGGTAGATCCTGGGGCCGTGGTGCTAGGGACCTGGGTTCGGGACCGCCGGCGAACTTGAGCCGCGGGGAAAACTGACAGAGCGCGCGATCCCAGGAGGCTGCCACGCCGCCTGGTGCATGAAGCTCCAGAGCAGCGGAGCGCCGGGACCTTAGAGGCAGGCGAGTGGAGGCGAAGGGGCCGCAGGGTGGGCGCTTCTGGGAAAGCAGACAAGGAAGAAGGAGATGGGAGGGAGGGCATAGCGTGAGCGTCCGGGACGCGGGCTCAGGATCGTGCGCGAGGAGCGCCACTCGGCAGGCGCTCCAGGACCCCCCATCCAAGGTGCGGGGCCCCAATTGGGCGCCCGGACGCCCCGTGACGGTGGCGCCGCTGCCACTGTCCCTAAGTGGGGCGAGGCCCGGCGCAGCCCTCTCAGCTGCCCGCCCGCCCCTTCTCCCCGCCCCGCGCTCAGTCCCCTCCCTCCGTCCCGCCTCCTGCCCCGCTCCCTCCCTCAGCGGCTGCCGCGCCGCGCTCCCGACGCACTCGGAGCCCGGCGGAGACCTGGAGGCAGAGACGGGGCGGCCACGGCTCCGAGGGCGGGAGCTGAGCCGGGCCCGGGACCGAAGTTTGGCGGCGGCTCCGGGAGGCAGAGCGGGCGTCCCGGGCGGCCACCAGGCCCCTCTCGCTTCCTCGACCCGGACCCGTGGGCAGCCGGGGGGACGGAAGCCGCGGCCGGGCCAACTCCGAGGCGGGGACGCAGCGACGGGAACTTGAGGTGGGAACTTTGCGCGCTGCAGCCTTGCCGGGCGCCACCCAAGCGCGGACCGGACCCCGCGCCTACAAACTCGGGCTCGGGGGCGGCTGCACGTGGCCGTGGCCCCCAACTCCCTGCTGGAGCCTCGAAACCCACCTGCAGGGAGGCCAGGGCTACCGAGGACCCGGGAGCAGCCGCTGGTGGCGGCGTGGAGCGCGCTAGCTGCGACCAAGGTGCGGGTACAGCTTTGCTTCTTCCCAAGGGGTCCCCGGGATGCAAAGTCCGGGACATTTGCAACGGCAGTGAATCCGGCGGGGGCGCATCCCGGCCCAAGGCCGAGGTTTCTCGCCGAATCCCGGGAGGAGGGAGAGTTAGGGATTGGGGTGGAGGGTGTCTGTCACTTGCTCATTCACTGGATCCTTAGGCATGGAATGGAGCTCCCCTCCACCCCCACCGTGGGCCTAATTAAGTCAATCATTAACCATGAATACAGCATGCATTTATTGAGCGCCTACTGTGTGCTAGGCGCTAGGGATACTGAGACAGTTCACTATGCACCCCAGTCGCCGCTAGGAAGGTGGTGGTCTCAGCCTCAGGGCTTCCATATGGGAGAGAGGCTCAGCCCAGAGATGTGGAAAGAAAATGGCGAAGTTCATTCATTCATTCATAGATTAAACAAAGATTGGTTGAACACCTACTAGGAGCAGCTCATCATACCAAGGGCTCGACACTCATTCATCCAATTTACAAACATTTATGGAGGAGCTATGCTGGGAAGAAGTGAAGAGGGATGGGGTGGGGGCAGGATAGAATGGGGGGAAGCTTCATGCAGCTTAGAGAGAAGTAAGAAGACCCAGGCCCCGCCTTGGGAGGTCGCAGTCTGCTGGGGCGGTGGACTGTAGCAGCCCGTGTGTGCAGGCAGAAGTCTTGGTTCATCTAATGCATTCATTCTCAAGGTGGGAGGCGTGGAAGCTGGAATTGGTTCTAGAATAGGAAGAAAAGATCTTTTCAAAGCTCCTTAGGGGCGGGTGATGGGGTAGGGTGGCGGGGAGTTGAGAAACACTGATCCGACATTACTGAGGAATGCTGGTTCCACCACTGGGGTGTGTGAGTTGTCTACTCAGCAGGCATTTTCTTAAGCAGTTGCTGTTATTAAGCACTTAAAGGGTGCCAGGCACCAAAGTTACCCAGGTGAATGACAGACACAGAGGAGGGAGACAGATGCTCCTCCCCCCACTTCACTGACACCCTGAGATAAGTGGGGGGGAGGAAGGGGAAGCTCCTGCCCTATGAATCTGAGCAGAGGTTTATTCAATAGGGTGGATTTGATATCCCCACACCCCTGATGGCAGAGTCCCTAAGTAGACCCTCACTGGCAGCACATCTCCAAGAAAAGTTTGGCACTGCTGACTGGGGCCATGCAGTGGGCACGGTGGCTAGAGCACGCTGTCCTTCTTTGGGGGATTTTTTTCTGACTCTGCCAGACCAGAGCTCTCTACCTGTGCCTCCTCCGGCTTTTGGAGCTCTGCACAGTCACCTGATGGGAGGGCTAGGAGGGAAGGTGTGTTTGAAAAACAGGCAAGCGCTGGGCCCTGGGGATCGCCCTGCTCAGTGGTTCCCAGAGCCAGCCCATTCCAGTGGAATGATGTCTGTTGAGGGACACACTCCTAACTTGCAGAGAACTGCAGGTTTACTGGAAATGAGGCAACCTAGGTTCTTCTCCTGAGACTTGAGAACCCAGGCCCACAGCCCACAGCCCACAGCCCACAGCCCACGGCCTGGGTTCTCAAGCCTCGGGAGTAAAAGAACCAATGAAACCCCCAGTCTTGCCCAACTCTGGGTTGCCTTTTTGGCCTCTGGGGGGGAGATGTGACATCTGGGTTGCCTTTTTGGCCTCTGGGGGGGGAGATGTGACATCTGGGTTGCCTTTTTGGCCTCTGGGGGGGAGATGTGACAAGGGAGGCAGACCTTGCCTGCTCCTCCCCATCCCTAAGACTTTCCCAAAGCTTGTCCTGGAGCCTGATTGGGGCAGATCTGGGTGCCAACTCTGAATTCCCTGCCCCAGATGCCCAGCGGGGCTCTGGCAGGAGGTGAGGGAGATGCCGCAGAAAACAGAAGAACAAAGAGATGATGTGTGCTGGATACAGGGCTAAGTGACTCAAACCCGCTCCAAGGAACTCACTTCCTGGAGCCTCAGTAGGGTATCTTGGCTCTGCTGTCTTTCTCCACCCTGCTTTCCACTGTTGATGAAGGGTCAACCTTGCCTGTTGCCAGAGGTCTAGGGGTGTGGGAATCTACTCTTGGGTGACGCATGAAGCCCGGCAAAGGAGCCCTTCATAAAGCCCCTCTAAGTAGAATTGATAAAAAGGGAGAGGCAAAGGAGAACCTAGCTGCAAGCACTCCATCACTTCGGGCCATTTTAATCATCCAGCAGACTGGATTTGATTAACAAAATCAGAAATGAAGTGACTTTGCTAGAAATAGAATCTGAATTGTGCCTAAGACTGTCCCTTGCCCTGAGGTTGAGTTTTCTGTCTCACCCCGACACCTCCCCAGGCAGGTCCGATCTTGTTCTCCCTCCAGGGGACTCCTGGAAGCCCACGTCTCCCTTCCTGCCATACTGAGTTCCCCACTGCTCCCCCAAGCCTGCTTCTCTGCTTAAGCTTATGTTCCCAAATTTTGAGCTACAAGGAGGCAAAGAGAAAAGGATCTTCTGGCTCGTCCCCAAACACCTCCCCGTAGAAGGCAAACACGAACGTGCATTTGGTGTTATTTTGCTTGCCTGCAGCACAGCAAGGAGGCTCCTGGGGCAGCCTGTCTTTTCTATACGGGGAGGGACACTGGCACTTTTTCTCATAGGGGGCAAGTGAGGGATGGAGGGAAGAGCCCAGCTCCCAGCACATACTCTTCCCAAGAACTTTGGCCCCAGCTTTCAGGAAGCTGGGCCAAGGTCCAGGATGGTTGGACTGTGGCGAGAACAGACGGCAGATGGCTAAGAAAGACAGATTCTCCACTAGGGCACAGCATCTCTTGGAAATCTAACATGCCAGGACCCAGGCCAAGCTAATGGTTGGATCCATTTTGATTAACGTTTTAATTGGGGATTAATGCAGCCTGACCTGCCTCTGAGTTGGCCAGCCAGGAGCCCTAATCCTGACAGATGAAGCCATGCTGGCAGTGAAACGCCACAGGGCCTGGGAGACAGTGCCATGGAGAGAGATGGAGAGACACCCACTGGGAGTGAGGCAATGGCACACGCGGAGAGGCATGGTAGAAAGAAAGAAACCAAAGCCTGTGGAGTGCTGGAGAGAAACGCTTTCCTTCTGGAAAGTTGCCTTGGAGGCTGTGTTAATTTCCTTCTTTCACATACTTGCACACATTTTTTTTTTTTTGAGATGGAGTCTTGCTCTGTTGCCTAGGCTGGAGTGCAATGGCTCACTGCAACCTCTACCTCCTGATTCAAGCCATTCTCCAGTCTCAGCCTCCCAAGTAGCTGGGACTACAGGCATGCGCCACCAGGCCCGGCTAATTTTTGTATTTTTAGTAGAGACGGGGTTTCACTATGTTGGACAGGCTGGTCTCGAACTCCTGACCTCATGATCCACCTGCCTCAGCCTCCCAAAGTGCTGGGATTACAGGCATGAGCCAGCACACCCAGCCACTTGCACACATTTAGTGGCTTAAAGCAATACAGATTTATCATCTTGGTTTTTTTCTTTTTTTAATTTTTTTTTTTATTTGAGACAGGGTCTTGCTCTGTCACCCAGCTGGAATACAGCGTCACTACCACGGCCCACCACAGCCGTGACCTCCTGGGCTCAAGTGATCCACCCACCTCAGCCTCCTGAGTCACTGGAACTAAAGGTACACACCACCACACTCAGCTAATTTTTCTTTTTTAATTTTAGAAACAGGGTCTCACTGTGTTGCCCAGGCTGGTCTTGAACTCTGAAACTCAAGCAGTTCTCTCTCCTTGGCCTCCCAAAGGGTTAGGATTCCAGGCGTAAGCCACTATGCCCAGCCTGAATTTATTATCTCATAGTGTTTGGACATCAGAAATCCAAATGAGACTCACTGGGCTAAAATCACGGTGTCAGCAAGGCTTCTGGGGAAGACTCCACCCTCTGCCTCCATCGTCAGTGTCTCCTTCCCAGAAGCCAAAATGTCAGCCCTGAGTTTGGCAAAACTGGGGATTTTGTTGATTTGTTTTTTACTCTGCTCTCTTACAAATGTGAAATAGTGATAAATACGTTTCCCCAACCATGGACAATTGCCTACTTCTCCCCATCCTCAAAAACATTCCAAAATCTTTTCCATATAAAATAGAGACTAGAAACCCAGTCCCTGACTCATGCAAGGGGTGGAGACACCACCCCAGCTCCCCGGAAAGAATCAATAGTTCAAGGAGGCAGTAAAAGGGAGGGTCAAAGAGGTCCAGCCTGGAGTCCCACAGACCTAGTTTTATTCCGGCTTCATCGCTTATGGCCAGACATAAGTTTTCACTTCGCAGAGCCTCAGTTTCTTCACTTATAAAATGGGGTTATCAGTGATAATGCCTGCCTTTTTAGGGAAGGATGAAGACTCATGCAGTTAAGTCTCCTAGCACAGCGCCTGGCACTTTGTGAGTCTGCGGTGGAGGGAGACTGTGGTTGCTGCTATTTATAACACCTTGTGCACTTAGCACTCTCTCTGCCTTCCCCACTGCCACTCAGAAGAGGGACTGAGAACCTAAGACAGAAAGAACAGAGTCCAGAGAGGTCCGAAAGCAGCTGGGGTCAGCCCAGGACTGTTTGTGGAACCATTTTATGCCCTTGATGGAATGTAGCCGTGGGGACAGGAAGCCAGGTGACACTGCTTATCCCTGCAGCAAACCTCCATTCACCAGATCCCCATAATAGCCCTGGGAGGTCAGCAATCTTGTCCCCATCTCCTAGGGGAGGAGGCAGGCTCAGAGAGGCCAGCAGCTCAGTGGGTGTGATAGCTAGCTCAGGCCACAGTGGACCTTCGCTGCATCCCGCTCCACCCTCCCAAATCCCACCCTGCAGGCCCTGCACCTGCACCCTCAACCATGTGCTGACCTCAGGGTGGTCACATGAGAACTGCCACTCAGAACGCCTTATAGTCTCAATGATCATTTATCTTTGCAAGTATGTTCTCAGCCCTCAGCCGTAACTTATAAGCATCACCTTTTTCCCCAAAGGATGAATAGAAAATTGCAGTGGATCTCTAAGCTCATGAATGGAAATTTGATCAAGGTAACCCCAATGCAGAAGATTTTTCTCACAAACGAGAAGGTATTCCATTTCTCCAGGAAATGGACTCAGACGCAGGACTCAGAGCCTTCCAGAGCCTCAAGGAGATTGACGCATTGAGCAGGGGAGTCCCGGCCAAAGCCCAGAGCAGTTCCTGTGCCTCCAGCCCCTGAGAGAGCTCCAAGCATTCCCAGTCCCCTCCCTCACACAGAATCTCCAGGAGAACCTGTGGAAAATGCTCATTCCTGGGCCTCCCCTTCAGGCATTCCAACTGGGACGGAAGGGTCCCAGGAACCTGTGTCTCCACCAAGCACCCTGGGCAATTCAGAAGGTTCTGTTGTTCTTGTGTTCTTCGTTTTTCTTTTGAAACCTGGGTTAAAAGCCAGAGTTGTACAAACCACGCCGCTTCCCAGCACGCCTCCTCATTGGCCTGTGCCAGCCTGTCTCGTCTTACTCATTTTTCCTCCTTCGTTCCAATCCCTGTGCTTCTTCCCCTTCCTTTGCCCTTCCAGGCTCCCTCCTTGTGGTTGATAGAGATCCTCCCATGTGCTTGAGACCTTGTAAAATATGTAATGTGTGTGTGTTCATTTACATAAATAGCACAGTGCTAGAAACTTCTGTTTCTTTTTCCACTCGGCACCCTGTTTTTAAGACCTAAATGTGTTGCTAATCCACCCCGTCCATTGCTTCTGATTCCTGGCAATCTGCAGGATTCCAGACTCTGCCTTTACCAAGACTTGCCTGTCCACTCCCCTGGGGATGGATGCTAGGGGGCCTCCTGGTACCAGAAACAACACAGAACACACATTCTTGTACCTTGTTACTCTCTTCCACCTTGTTCCCCAGAAGCAAACCCTGAGTAAAGGATTTGAGTGCAAATAATTGATTACCGACAATGTCTGCCACAATGCTTTGTGGTCCCTGGTCTGGGAAATCTACCCAGGAGTGGGATTTCTGGGTCACAAGACAGCAGCATCTTCATTTCCCTCATTACCACCCAGTGGCTTTCCCGGAGTGCTAGGCCAGCCTGCACACCCTCCAACAGTGGGCTCTGGGGATCAGGTGATGCGGGATCCAAATCCCAGAGGGTCGGGTCAGAAAAGAAGACACTCTTGGCAAGCAGGGAGGGGGGCGGCAAACCCTTCTTGTAGCTCATGAGAATTCCGAGGTGACTACTGAGGGTTCGAAGAGTGTCGGGCGTGGGGCCATGCGGATCACCTGTGCCGTCCGCTTTTGTCCTCACCATAACTCAAGGAGGCAGGAGCTGTTTGTAGCCTCATTACACAGATAAAGAAACTGAGTCTCAGGGATAGGGCATGACTTGCCTAAAGTCACAGAGCAACTGACCTTGAACTCAGGTGTCCTAATTTCAAAGCCTGTGTGCCCTTCTGCCTCCCCAGCTTGGGGTGATTGGCAGGTTGTCCCCAAGCTGGAGCCGAACCAGAACTAGCTTTCTCTTAACATCCCTTTTTTAAGACAGAGTGTCAGAAAAAAAAGTCTCCAGAGTACTCTGGAGTGCCAGTGGCAGGACCTCCTCTCACTGCAACCTCTGCCTCCCAGGTTCGAGAGATTCTCCTGCCTCAGCCTCCCAAGTGGCAGGATTATAGGCGCGTGACACCACACCCAGCTAATTTTTGTATTTTTAGTAGAGATGGGGTTTCACCATGTTGGCCAGGATGGTCTCAAACTCCTCAAGTGATCTGCCCACCTCGGCCTCCCAAAGTGCTAGGATTACAGGCGTGAGCCACCCTGCCCGGCCTCAGGATCCCATTTCCCTTTGCAGCTGTCACAAATTACAAGCTTAGTGGCTTAAGACAACCAAATTGTGTTATCTTCTGGCAGTCAGAGGTTGGAAATGGGTCTGGCTGGGCTAAAATCTGGTGCTGGCAAGGCTGTGCTCCTGTCTGAGGCTCCAGGGAACTCACTTCCTTGCCTTCTCCAGCCTCTGGAGGCCACCTGCATTCCTTGACTCACGGCCCCTTCCTCCATCTTCAAAGCCAGCAGTGGCCAGTGGAGTCATTCTCATGCCACGCCCTTCTGCCACTCCGTCTCCTGCTTCCTTCCTCCACAAATAAGGACGCTGTTGATTACACTGGACCCGCCCAGATCATCCAAGATAATTTCCCATCTCAGGTCAGCTGATTAGCAACCTTAATTCCATCTGTTACCTTCATTCCTCCTTGCCATGCAGTCTAACATATTCACGGTTTCCAGGGATTAGGGCTAGGACATGGGCATCTAGGGGAATGCAGGGACAATTTTCTGCCTACCATATGCCCTGCACTGAGCACTCTGGCCTGATGTGATGCAGCGTCAATGGGGATGTGGATGCTGGGCACAGGTGAGGCCCCTGGCTTGAACATAGCTCTGCTACCCTGGCCCTCCTGCCCTTGCCAGCCTAGCCAGGTCAAAGCTACCAGGTGACACCCTCACCCGCCGCAAACACAAACCCATCAGCTCAGCATTGATGGTCTGGCACCATCCTTCGGAGACACCCATCTCCGCCCTCTCTCCTGCATCTCACCGGCATCCTCTTTTGTATATTGTCCCACGGCCAGGAACGGCTTCCTCTGACTCAGCTCACCATAGCGCCACCTATGCGTCCCCTCGGTAAATGGCACCTCTGGAATCATGATTCTTCTCTTTCCCCCTCCCCCAGGCCCCATTCCTCAGCCAGTCCTGAGGGCTCTTCCTCCAAAGTTCATCCCAAATCCCTTGTGTTCTCCATAACTCCACCGGTGCAAACCATCATCAGCTCTAGAATGATTTAAGTAGCCTCCAGCCTGGGGTCCCCAGCCCATGCACTGTCCACTGACCTGGCAGGCACACATGGACTCCTTGTCCTCTGCAGGATAAGCCCCAGCTCCTTATTGTCAGCCCCTAGGCCCTGCTGCACCTGGCCCCTGCCCACTCCTCTACTCCCAGCTTCCCCTCGCTCTGTGCTTGGCCTTCTCCTTGGTCTTCGATCATCCAAGCCCACCCCCAAGTTCAGGGAGCAAACTCTTGCCATTCCCTCTGCCAGGTCCTCACAGGGCTGGACCCACCCATGTGGCTCAGCCCCATGTCCCCTCCTCCAAGAAGTCCTCCTCACCCCTTCAGCTAATGTTGCCCCGAATCCCACAGTAGTCATTCTCCATCTCTCACCTGCTCTGTCAACAACACTGCAGTCACTATAGCCTGAAATGACTTGTATCCTTGTTTGGAAAGAGTCTCCCCCACTAGAAGGTCACCTCTGTGAGGACAGCGCCTGGGTCTGTCTTTTTCTCTGCCATGTCTCCAGATCTAACACAGAGCATGGCACGAGCATTACTGAGGTGAGTGTTCAGTAACTATTGAATGACCAAACAAAAAAATGAATGAATGAACTATCTGCCCCATCGCAGCCTCTGCCTCAAACCGCTTCCTCTTCCCGAGTATCCATAGACCCTCAGAGGCAAGATTGCTAAAACCCACCATGCTGTAGAACTAACAGAACTAACACCACGGAGAAACAAAAAAAAATTCCTGTGAAGGTATCAGACTGGGTGAAAAGCAGCATTATTTTTCAGAAGCCCAGGCTTTGGGGCCTGTTTGATTTATGAACTTTATAGGGTCTAGGGTGCTGAGCCCTTCACCAAACATCAGCTCTGGATCTGCAAGACCAAAGGTCATGGAGAAATATGCTGTTCTTCCTTTAGCAAGTTCCTGCCTTAGCATCTCCCCAGGGGACTCTGGCTTTGAGAACAAGGTCCTTACCGTGTTGATTACCCTCTGAGTGGCATCAGCCTCTCCATACTCCCCACACTGCTGAGTCAGGATCACTTTCCACACAGGAAACTCACATGGGGGCAGGGCGTGAAGGAAAGAAATCACTAATTGGGGGAGTTTTCTGCTGGAGGGAATGCCGGGAGGGTTGAAAGATGAAATTCTTAAAAAGAAGAGGTGATTACAGCTGTGGGGATTCACAAGAGCCCCCTGGGGCCCATTCGAGGCATTTTCCCCTTACCTCCATCACCATTCTTGCCAAACAGTGTCACTTTTTCTCTTGTCTGTGGTAGCAAAGATGAAACAGCAGAGCTGAAAAGAGAGATCACCAAGGAAAGTGCCTGAAAGGGATTATTCCCACGCCTCCGAGGGATCCTGGCAGGCTGTGCCTGAGGACTTGGGTTCCAATTTTAGGTGAAGTTAAAAACACTCTAACCGTCTAAAATCAAAGCATTTTTCTTTCAAACACAGGTGTACCCTAGTTTTCCAAAATCTGATCTATGCAATTGTAGCCTTCTGCAAAGATCAGTGAGTAGCAGAAGGGTGATGTGCTTTTGTAAGGCAGTTCCTCTTAGGAAGGAGCCCGTGTTACGCATGAAACACCCTCCCTCCCTTTCCAGCACCTATTAAAACACTTCCTCATTCACACACATGTTTGTGTATGTGTGTGTTGTGAGCAGGTGTTTTCCTGAACATGGCCATAGCACCGACCAACATTTAAGTATTGGAAATGGGTTTCCATTTGCAATCGACAGACTTTACCACTTCCTTCCATCAGGATTGGTCTGAGGAGAAGGCTGGTGATTTTTAAAAGCAGGGTATTCGACTCCTACTAACTTTTCTATGCATCGGCTTAATTCCAGAGAGCTCTGTAGCTATTATCTAGGGGTCTCAAACTCAAATGCCTATGAGGCCAGGAAGAAAACACACAGGAGTGGAATAGAGAGGGCGTTAGGAAGACAATGGGGAGGGATGGGGACTGTGGTGGGTTGGAGCAGGTGCCGCCTAAAGGAGTAGCCATTTCTCAGTTAGTGTTTGGGCCAAGTATTGCCAGATATCCTGATTTTTTAAGAGAAGCCAAGAATATGGATTTTTACATGAAATTTCACAACTTTCAAAAACTTCTCCAAGCCAAGCAAAATATTTGTGAACCAAATTCAGCCCATGAGCTGGTAATGAATAAGCAATCTTGTTCCAGCAGCACAAACCCTTCGCTTTGAGAGTTGGGAAGGAAGGAGTCCATGCAAGTTGATATTTTGACCTCAGTTTCCCAGAAGTGGCCTCATTATGCTGGTCTCCTCAGCAGGAAATAGACTCATTTAGCTAGCACTTCTTTGGGCCCTTACAGGGCTGGGCACTGGGATTCAGAGATGACTAAAGCACATTTCTTCCCCCAGGGAGCAGGCTGCCTAAGGAAGAAGCCAGGCTTGCACACAGACAGTTCTAGAGCTGGTGGTAAGTGCTGTGAAGACACGTGCACCAGTTGTAAGGGGAGCGGTGCTGGATTTAGCTGGAGGGGCCAAGGAAGGCGTCCTGGGTGGACGTGCCTGTCCAGTTCACCCCGTATCCTCAAGGTGGTGTTTGCCGACACATGAACAAACATGGCTTTGCTTTGATAGTTGTGCATTTCTTTGTCCATTGCTTCTGACTTATGGCAAGTGATACCTGTTTTCCATTAATGGAAACATATAAGTTGTCCATTCAAGATAATAAAAGGCCAGGCGTGGTGGCTCACACCTGTAATCTCAGCACTTTGGGAGGTCAAGTTGGGCAGATCACCTGACATCAGGAGTTCAAGACCAGCCTGCCCAACATGGCAAAACCATGTCTACTAAAAATACAGAAATTTACCAGGTGTGGTAGCATAGCTGGTAATCCCAGCTACTCGAGAGGCTGAGGCACAAGAATTGCTTGAACCCGAGGTGAGGAGGTTGCAGTAAGCCCAGATGGTGCCACTGCACTCTAGCCTAGGCAACAGAGCAAGACTCTTGTCTCAAAAATAATAATAATAGACAATAATTACTGTTTATCTACTATGTGCCAGGCACTGCAATAAATGTTCCTATGTACATAATTCACTTGGGCCTCCCAGTGATCCTACCAAATAGGTCACCCATTTTATAGACAAGGAAATTTTTTTTTTTTTGAGATGTAGTCTTGCTCTTGTCACCCAGGCTGGAGTGCAATGGCAGGATCTCAGCTTACTGCAACCTCAGCCTCCCGGTTCAAGCTATTTTCCCACCTTAGCCTCCTGAACAGCTGGGATTACAAGACGCCCGCCATCACACCTGGCTAATTTTTGTATTTTTAGTAGAGATGGTGTTTTGCCATGTTGGTCCAGCTGGTGTCAAACTCCTGACTTTGTGATCTGCCCTCATCGGCCTCCCAAAGTGCTGGGATTACAGGTGTGAGCACATCAAGGTTGAGTCACTGCCCAGGCTGTGTGGCTCTGGAGTTACATTTATAACCACTAACCAGGCTTCTCCCCCTCAGCATTAAGGACGTTTGCCACCAGATAAGTCTCTGTTGTGGGGACTGTCCTGTGCATTGTAGGACATGTGACAGCAATCCCTGGCCTCTCCCTGCTACATGCTAGTAGCATCTCCAGTCGTGACCAGCAAAAATGCCTCCAGGCATTGGCACAAGTCTTTGGGGAGACAAAATCAGCCCTATGAGAATTGTAGGTCTACACTAAATTGTTTTTCCAAGTCAAATAAATACCAAAAAAAAGGTCAATTTAAAATGAAATGTTAAGTAAATAACAGTACATGTGTCACCTGAAAATCCACTAGGATGTCAGCTGCCTGAGATCAGATACCCCTTCACATTCTGCACACGGCTCCATCCCCAGTGCACAGATGGATGTGGGAGAATTGTGACAGCTGGGAGACACTGGACAGTGTTATTGCTATTTCACTATTAGGCGAATGTGTTTGTCAGCTCAGGCTGATATAACCAAATATTAATACCACAGACCAGTGGCTTCAGCAGCACTTATTTCCTCCCAGTTTTGTCAGCTGTGAGTCTGAGAGCAGGGTGCCAGCAACACTCACCTCCGGTTTCTCACTTGGATGCCCCTCTGAGTGCCCACATGGTGGAGAAAGCCCCGGCGTCTCTGCCTCTTCTGGCTGGTTGGTTGGTTTGAGATGGAGTCTCACTCTGTCGCCCAGCCTGGAGTACAGTGGTGCTATCTTGGCTCACAGCAACCTTCACCTCCCAGGTTCAAGCGATTCTCCTGCCTCAACCTCCCTAGTAGCTAGGATTAGGATTACAGGTGCACACCACCATGCCTGGCTAATTTTTGTATTTTTAGTAGAGACAGGGTTTCACCATGTTGGTCAGGCTGGTCTCAAACTCCCGACCTCAAATGATCCACCTGCCTCAGCCTCCCAAGGTGCTGGAATTGCAGGCATGAGCCACGGCACCCCACCTCTCCTCTTATAAGAATGCGAATCTCATGGTGGGGACTTTGCTCTCATAACAGCATCTGAACCAAATCACATCTCAAAGACCCCGACCCTAATACCATACCATTGAGGGCTAGGGGCTGCAACCTATGGATTTGGGGGACAAAGATTCCATCCCTAACAGTGAATATCTGCGACATCCACATTCTCAGCAAGGTGAAGGTAGTGGTGGTCGCTGAGGGTCTTTACTCTCTTCTCCCCACAGGCCCAAGAGGGATGTGAAGGCCCAAAATGACCCTTTTACCGGGAGACAATTCTGACTACGACTACAGCGCGCTGAGCTGCACCTCGGACGCCTCCTTCCACCCTGCCTTCCTCCCGCAGCGCCAGGCCATCAAGGGTGCGTTCTACCGCCGGGCGCAGCGGCTGCGGCCGCAGGACGAGCCCCGCCAGGGCTGCCAGCCCGAGGACCGCCGCCGTCGGATCATCATCAACGTGGGCGGCATCAAGTACTCGCTGCCCTGGACCACGCTGGACGAGTTCCCGCTGACACGCCTGGGCCAGCTCAAGGCCTGCACCAACTTCGATGACATCCTCAACGTGTGCGATGACTACGACGTCACCTGCAACGAGTTCTTCTTCGACCGCAACCCAGGGGCCTTCGGCACCATCCTGACCTTCCTGCGCGCAGGCAAGCTGCGGCTGCTGCGTGAGATGTGCGCGCTGTCCTTCCAGGAGGAGCTGCTCTACTGGGGCATCGCAGAGGACCAGCTGGACGGCTGCTGCAAGCGCCGCTACCTGCAGAAGATCGAGGAGTTCGCGGAGATGGTGGAGCGGGAGGAGGAGGACGACGCGCTGGCCAGCGAGGGCCGCGACAGCGAGGGCCCGGCCGAGGGCGAGGGCCGCCTGGGCTGCTGCATGCGGCGACTGCGCGACATGGTAGAGAGGCCGCACTCGGGGCTGCCGGGCAAGGTGTTCGCCTGCCTGTCGGTGCTCTTCGTGACCGTCACCGCCGTCAACCTCTCCGTCAGCACCTTGCCCAGCCTGAGGGAGGAGGAGGAGCAGGTAAGAGCCCACTGCCCCGCGGGGAGACCCGCCACCGTGAAGGAAGGGACACTGAGCATTATCCCCTCCTCCAGGAAGCCTCCCGGATTGCGCACTGGCTGAATAGCATCCCTGGTCCCTCCTGACATCAGGAATGTTTGTGTGCATGGTCTGCCTTTTTGTTAATAGGTGAGCATCATGGGAGTCCATGCCTGTGCCTGTCCTGGCCTCCACTGCCCCCGCCACTGCCCTTCCCCCCACCAGTGTCTAGAACAGTGTCCAGCACAAACGGGCACTCAACCACTACATTTGTTCCTTTGTTGAATGAACAAATGAGTGAATAAATGGATGATGTGATTTTTGGCCCTGAGCGAAACACATGATATATATCATCAAACTGATCTGGACCACTCCACCCTTTCTCAGCCTTCCTAATCCCTTGCATCCAAGTAGCCCTGGCACCTCTTCTGGGTCCTGAAGATAATTTTTGTTGATGGGTACATGTGTGTCTGCAAATGGTGAGCATTTATTTTGGTCCATAAGAGAATGAATGAAAAGCGTATTTACTCCAGGGCCTGGCATGGGGTATGTGCCACAGTCTAGGGACTCCCACTCATCTGGGAGTTCTCAGGAACTGGGAGCTGGGAGCTGGGCTGCACATGCCACCTACATCTCAGCTCCCCAGGGAATGCTCGAGCGACCCTGGGGGGAAGTGTTTTCACACCAATCTGTACTTGAGGACACTGCCCAACCCCAGGTCTAAGTCCAGTCCACGTTTGTAAGCATGGAAATATGGAGCCCAAGCGGCAGCTTGGGGACCTAATATAGCCCCACAGGAAGGACTATGTGATTGGCCCACACAGGTTTCCCAAAAGTTTGACTTGGTTGCCAACATTAAAAGTGGAGAGTTTTTCATATAAAAATTCAAAATCTCAGCTTCTTTTAAAAATCATAAGATCAGGCCAAGTGTTCATGCCCATAATCCCAACACTTTGGGAGCCAGAGGCAGAAGGATCGCTTGAGTCCAGGAGTTCAAAATCAGCCTGAGCAATGTAGTAAGACCCTGTCTCTACAAAAACTAATAATAATAATCATCATCATCATCATCATCATCATCATAATCCAGGTGTGGTGGCTTGCACCTGTAGTCCCAGCTACTTTGGAGGCTGAGGCAGGAGGATTTATTGAGACTTGGAGGGGAGGCAGCAGTGAGCCATGATCCTGCCACTGCACTCCAGCCTGGGCAACAGAGTGAGACCCTATCTCTTATAAATAAAATGTAAAGGCTGGGCACGGTGACTCATTTCTGTACTTCCAGAAGTTTGGGCGGCCAAGGCAGGCAGATCACGAGGTCAGAAGTTCAAGACCAGCCTGGCCAACATAGTGAAACCCCATCTCTCCTTAAAAAAAAAAATTAGCTGGGTGTGGTGGCACATACCTGTAGTCCCAGCTACTCAGGTTGCTGAGGCAGGAGAATCACTTGAACCCAGGAGGTGGAGGTTGCAGTGAGCCAAGATGCTATTGTACTCCAGCCTGGGTGACAGAGTGAGACTCTGTCTCAAAAAATAAATTAATTAAATTTAATTTAAAAAATTGTAAGGCTGTGTCCCCCGCCACACATACACAGCAGCCTGCAGTCCTGCATGGCATCTCCTGGTGAGAGCCGAGTCCACAGGGGCCCAGTTCAGTCTCCTTGTGTATGAGACCGTGGGCCTTAGAGTTGGTGACTCCTTCCCTATACATGGGGATTCTGGAAGCTTTCAAGAAAGACTGAAAGGTCTCAGGTACGCATTGTATAGGCAGTGGAGAAATAGGTGTGGCTGTGTGAACTGAACATAAATATCATGCCAGCTAGTATTTATTAAGCACTGACTGTATACCCTGCATGTGCTAAGTGCTTTACATGCACTCTCGAATTTAACATTAGAAGTACTCACCATGGGAGGATTTTTCCACTTGTGTATATGGAGGAAGTAGCAATAGCTTCGCAGTAATAATCCAAGGAGGCTTGCTAGTATTTTTTGTATACTTTGAATTTATTTATTTATTTTTAAGAGATGGGGTCTTGCTTTGCTGCCCAGGCTGGCCTCAAATTCCTGGCTTCAAGCAATCCTCCCACCCCTGCCTCTCAAAGTGCTAGGACTGCAGGGGTGAGCCTCCATGCCTGGCTTATAAAATGAATTTCTTAAATGGGAATGAAGAAAATAGCATTCAACTAGTAAACTTTTTAAATTTTTTTAAATTTAAAAAAAACAATTTTAGGCCAGGTTTGGTGACTCACGCCTGTAATCCCAGCACTTAAGGAGCTGAGGCAGATAGATCACTTCAGGTCAGGAGTTTGAGACCAGCGTGGCCAACATGGCAAAACCCCAGTTCTACTAAAAATACAAAAATTAGCTGGGCATGTTGGTGCTCGCTTGTAATCCTAGCTACTTGGGAGGCTGAGACATGAGAATCGCTTCAACCTGGGAGGTGGAGGTTGCAGAGCCACAGTCACACCACTGTACTCTAGTCTGGACAACAGAGTGAGACCCTGTCTCAAAAAAATATTAATTTAGAGATGGGGCATTGCTATGTTGCCCAGGTTGCTCGAACCCTTGGACTCAAGCATCCCTCCTGCCTCAGCCTCCTTAATAGCTGGGACTATAGGTGCACACCATCACACCCAGCTGGTAAAATTAACTTTCAATAAGCATGAGGGGTAGTGATGAAGAGGTCAGGGCTAGAGCCAGAAGGCCTGAGTTCTAATCCTGTTTCTGCACTCTGGCTGTTTAATAGCTGTGGGCAAGTTACTTAACTTCTTTGAGCCTCTAATTCCTCACCTGTCCAGGGGGGTTATGAACAGGCCCACCTCACAGAGTTGAAAGGATTCAGTGAGTTCACATGAAGTGATTAGAAGTGACTGGGACTGGGCGCAATGGCTCACGCCTTTAATCCCAGCACTTTGGAGTCCAAGGCAGGCAGATCACTTGAGGTCAGGAGTTCAAGACCAGCCTGACCAACATAGAGAAATCCCATCTCTACTAAAAATAGAAATTAGATGGGCATGGTGGTACATGCCTGTAATCCCAGCTACTCAGAAGGCTGAGGCAGGAGAATCGCTTGAACCCAGAAGGTGGAGGTTGTAATGAGCCAAGATTACGCCATTGCACTCCAGCCCAGGCAACAAGAGCAAAACTCCATCTCAAAAAATAAAAAGAAGTGATTGGGATGACTGAGTCCACATGAAGGGGTTAGAAGTGGTTCGTAGTGAATGTGCAGAAAGTCCTAACTCAAGGATTAGGGTCAAAAAGGAAAAGAAAGGAAAGGAAAATGCTCACCACTTGAGACCTGTCTGGAAATTGCTACACTTAGCATAAATTTCTTCTCAGCGCCAACATCTTTGATAGTGATTTTATCAGGAAAATACTAATAAAGCCACCGTTTGGTTCAACTTCTGATACTTGCCTTTTTAAAAAGTAATAATACTTTGCCTTGTTTAGAATGCAGTGAACATGCTGTTCTTCATTTTGGGGGCCAGTGGGATTCACTGTTTCACTTGCTCTTTGTGCACACATTTGAGTGCCTACTGTATACAGGCACTACCGGGGAGACAGGGTGACCAGGACAGCTCCTGCAACCTCAAGGAGCTTCCAGTCTATTGGGGTTGGGATGGAGTAGTGACATGCTCCCCTCCAATCGCCGTAAGCACGAGCCAAGGAAGCTTTGTGTGGGAGGCACGCTAGCATTGCTGGAGCTGCTTGGTGGGGTGCACTCCAGGAAGGCTTCCCAGAGGAAGGGGCTTCCCATCCCAGAGGTCTAAGGCCTTAAAGCTCCCCACCAAGTATTAGCTCGTATCTCCAGCTCCTAACATATTCCTAGAGATAGTTGTTGGAGTGGGACTGGTAGAACTCAGCTGTGCCCAGAGCCTCCAAGGTGCGCCAGGCTGGAGCCACGCTGGCCTCTCCTCGCTGCCAAAGGCCCCTTCAAGGATGAGGCGCAAGTCCACTAAGGGCTGTTTACCACCCAGTTATATTCCAGACCAGAGAGACAAGCTGGCAGCCCACATGCCAAACCCAGCACAGAGATGTGTTTTAGTGGCTCATACAGTATTTCTTTGCATTGAATTACCACCAGCACCTAAATCAACATTTTATCTATTTAACCAACCATTATCACTGACATTTATCACCAGGAGAGTTCACGTAAAACTGTACATTTTCAGCCTCTTTTGAAAGCTTCAGTGAGGTAGCCTTAGCCCAAATTTGCCCAGGGTAGTGATGGGGGCACTGAACAAGATGGCTGAGCTCTCCGGGGACAGGGGGGCAGGACGAGCTGGGGGGGGTGGGGAGGCTGGGGAAGGCAGTCCTACCTGGCCCTCTATTCCAGTTTCCTTGGCCTGCCTGGTCCCTGGTGGCTTTGGGGTTTATAGTCTTGTCTAAACCCATGGCATGTTCTTCCATGGCCTGGGGTCTGAGCTGTAAACAGTGCATACCAACTGTCCTTCCTGGTGAGGCTGTGACCTGCTGGCACAGCTGTGGGGGTGAGGATGGATGCAGGCAAAAAAAAAACGGTAAGTAACATGTAAGGCATATTGAACAGTAATCAGTGCTATGAACAAAAAGCAGGATAAGAGGAACTGGGGTGCAGGAAAAATTGGGGTATTTTAAACAGGGGAGTCACAAAATCTCTCCTTGAGAAGGCGATGACAGAAGCAGAGCTGGAGAAGGGGGATGGGAGCAATGTGGGTGTTTAGGGAGGCTGGGGGTGAGCGGGGTGTTAGAGGGATGCAGAGGAAGCCACGAGGCTGGAGCAGGTGTGCGAGGGCCAGGGAGGAGGTCTGGGGCCTATGGATAGATGGACAAATGGATGGTCCAGGTACACCCCAGGGTGGGGACTACTCCTCAGAGTCCATCATCGGGAGCCACAAAGGGTGCTAAGCAGAGGAAAAACAGGACCCTTCTGGCTATGTGTGGAAAATGGACTGCAGGGATGAGGGAGCCCAGGGGGGAGGTGACTGCAACTGTCCAGGTGAGAAAGGATGGTGGCCCGACCAGGTAGGAGCAGTGGGCAGTGGGTTTGATTCTCACACTGTTTTAAAGAAAGAGACTTCCTGGGGATTAGACGTCTGTAGATGCTAAGGATGATGCCAGGTCTCTCGTCCTGAGCAACTGAAAGGATGGGACTGCTGAAAGCTCTGGAGGGAAAGCCACAGAGGGCAGGGGAAACCAGGAGTCCAGTGTTGGCTGTGGTGAATTTGAGATGCCTCAGATACCCAGGTGGGAGGTCAGGGAGGCAGCCGATGGGGGGTCTGGAATTCAGGGCTGAGGTGGGGGCTGGAGAGAGATGAGGAGTGGCCAGTGTGGAGACAGTGTCTAGTGCCCCAGACCTCACAGTGGGCACAACTAGAGAGAGGACCCGGGGCCACTCAACCTGGAGGGGTCACCTTCCTTCCGCCTGGGAAGTCCAGAACAGGCACAGGGCAGAGCTTCCTCGGTCCTTCCCTGGTGGGAACAATGACCCCCCCTCCTCTGGCATCCCTTCCCCTCTCTCCCAGGGCCACTGTTCCCAGATGTGCCACAACGTCTTCATCGTGGAGTCAGTGTGCGTGGGCTGGTTCTCGCTGGAGTTCCTCCTGCGGTTCATTCAGGCGCCCAGCAAGTTCACCTTCCTGCGGAGCCCACTGACGCTGATCGACCTGGTGGCCATCCTGCCCTACTACATCACGCTGCTGGTGGACGGCGCTGCCGCGGGCCGCCGCAAGCCCAGCGCGGGCAACAGCTACCTGGACAAGGTGGGGCTGGTGCTGCGTGTGCTGCGGGCGCTGCGCATCCTGTATGTGATGCGCCTGGCACGCCATTCCCTGGGGCTGCAGACGCTGGGGCTGACGGCCCGCCGCTGCACCCGCGAGTTCGGGCTCCTGCTGCTCTTCCTCTGCGTGGCCATCGCCCTCTTCGCGCCCCTGCTCTATGTCATTGAGAATGAGATGGCCGACAGCCCCGAGTTCACCAGCATCCCTGCCTGCTACTGGTGGGCCGTCATCACCATGACAACGGTGGGCTACGGCGATATGGTCCCCAGGAGCACCCCGGGCCAGGTGGTGGCCCTCAGCAGCATCCTGAGTGGCATCCTGCTCATGGCCTTCCCGGTCACCTCCATCTTCCACACCTTCTCCCGCTCCTACCTGGAGCTCAAGCAGGAGCAGGAGAGGGTGATGTTCCGGAGGGCACAATTCCTCATCAAAACCAAGTCGCAGCTCAGCATGTCCCAGGACAGTGACATCTTGTTTGGAAGTGCCTCCTCGGACACCAGAGACAACAATTGAGCACAGAGAACACCTGCCCTGCCTGCCCTCTGTGGCCCGAAGCCATTGCCATCCACTGCAGATGCCTGGAGAGGGACAGGCTGCTTCCCAGTGCAGTCCTGGTGCAGCACCGACTCCCACGAACCCAGGGAAGGACGCTCTCGATCTCACACCCCGGGAAGGACACCCGCACATCAGCAGAGGGGACTGCCCCTCCGCCTCCAGCTGTGAAGGGAAGCTGGGTCACCAGCCCAGCCCCGCCCACCCCAGCCCCTATGTCTGTTTCTCTCAATAAGGAGATGGCTTGTTCTTTTCACCATGCAAATAACATGCCCAGCAAAAACTTGCTTTGTGGGTCTGCCTGGAGAAAAAAAATACAAACGGCAGCAGCAACATGTCTGTCTCTAATGTGGATCATGTCCAGGGAAAGGAAACTGATGAGAGAGAGCATGCCTCCCATAGGCTCTTGAAAGAGGGAGCTGTATTTCCCGGCACAGCCAGCCATGTGGGACTGGAAGTAAAGGACCCTGAGTTCTCTGGTTGTTCAGGCCTGGTGAGGCGCTACTGGGGTTGGAGAAAAAGAGAGAACAGACACTTTTAGGAAAGTGACCAGTGAATACTTTCTCGTTTCTCTTTGACTCCCCACCACCTCCAGGCCTTTCTTTCTCCCTTTTCTATTTCCTCCTTTTTTCCTTCTCTCCCATCCTCTATTCAGCTCTTTACCCCTTAGGGCCAGCTTCTCAAACTTTCCCCCAATGTGCCCCTGACGCCATTGAGAAGTCATTACATTAGAAAGCCTGTCAGCATTGCTGACTATATGTTGTTGAAATCACTCCTTTTTTTTTTTTTTGAGACAGAGTCTTGTTCTGTTGCCAAGCTGGAGTGCAGTGACACAATCTCGGCTCACTGCAACCTCCACCTCCTGGGTTCAAGCAATTCTGCTGCCTCAGCCTCCTGAGTAGCTGGGACTACAGGCACACGCCACCACACCCAGCTAATTGTTTTGTATTTTCAGTAGAGATGGAGTTTCACAATGTTGGTCACGATGGTCTCAATCGACTGACCTCGTGACCTGCCCTCCTCAGCCTCCCAAACTTCATTTTATCTTTAAAAAATTGTGTGGTGTTTTTATTCTACTCCACATTATTTTAATCTGTGAAAAATATGCTTTACATCATATACCTGTATATAAATCTAAATCTAAAGCAGGGACGGATGTTTTTGAAATGGGGCTACAGTTACCTGGGCAGCCTGAGAAGCAGAATCTGCAGCCCCCAGAGGCATCCCTGTGCCCCCAAAGACCTGCAGAGCACCCACTGACCTGCAGGGCACCCACCCGACCCGCAGGGCACCCACAGGACCTGCAGAGCACCCACCCAACCCACAGGGCACCCACTGACCCGCAGGGCACTCACAGGACCCGCAGAGCAACCACTGACCCTCAGGGCACCCACAGGACCTACAGAGCACCCACTGACCCACATGGCACCCACAGGACCTGCAGGGCACCCACCCGACCCACAGGGCACCCACCGACCTGCAGGGCACTCACAGGACCCACAGAGCAACCACTGACCCTCAGGGCACCCACAGGACCTGCAGGGCACCCACCCGACCTGCAGGGCACCTACCTGACCTGCAACACATCTTCAACTTCATATTGCATATATGACCCACAGTAGAGAGAGAGCCCAGGACAGCCCAGCAGATTCCTCCCCAGGTAACAGGGCATAGAGACCCTCAGTGCCAGGTGTGGGGAGGGGGCTTCCCACTCAGGTCACGATCACAAGCTTGTCCTAACCCTTAAAGACACAGCCACATCATCCCCATCCCAGCACCTTCACACATGCCCACCCCTCTGCCAGGGATGCCCTTCCCGTGGAATCCTGCATGGTGGGCTCCTTCCAAGAGACGCCTTCCCTGACCACTTCTCAAAGAACCCACATCAGCACCACTCCACCGCTCTGTCACCGAGGCTTACCAGGCTTGGTCTTCTGTATCCACTCATCAGCCTCTGAAATGGAATGATTTATTCCTCTTCTTAGCGACAGGACTCAGCAATGTGGCTCATCACTGACTCCCAGCACCTAGCATAGCGCCTGTACCTAGCAGGTGCTCAATTTATTGAAAGACTCTTAGCCAGATGTGGTGTAATCCCAGCTACTTGGGAGGCTGAAGCAGGAGAATCCCTTGAACCCAGGAGTTGGAGGCTGCAGTGAGCCATGATTGCACCTGAGAATAGCCACTAAATTCCAGCCTCGGTGACAGAGTAAAATAAATTAATTAATTTTAAAAATAATGAAGGGAAATAGGAAAGAGGGCCAGAAAGCACACAGCATTTATTTTTAACATTGAATACTGGGTCCTGGAAGCACCTCCCCCCCTCCTCCCCCGCCCCCTCATTCCTCTTCCTCCTCTCACTCCCTCTCTGTATTTCTGTCTCTTTCCTCTCTCCCTCTCTCTGTTTCTCCTCTGCTCTGCGTCTCTGGTGGCGAGGCCACCGAGATCTCAGTACAATATACACGTGGTGATGCAGAGTGGAAATATCAACTGAGTCATGAGGGCCTCGTTAAAGTCTCCCCTGACACCTGCTGCCAATGACTCACGCCTGCAAAGTAAGTTTTCCGACTAATTAGCACTACCTTCCCCAGCCCGGTGGGTGTCAGGCAATCGTGCACTGCCATCATCTTTAATAATGCTCGAAATTTACGGAATGACCTTTTATTCCCCTCGAAAGGGGCTATGAGAGGCAGGAGGCCACTGGAAATGCTAAACACACAGAAATATGGCACCAAAAGAAGTATAAAATGGAGCCCTTTAAAATTCAGGGGAGCGGGGAATAAGGCCATGTGTGGTGGGGGAGGGATCCCTGAATGGAACAGCACTGGGAGGAAAGAGAAACAGAGGCTAGGGTAGTGAAGGGAAGCCGGGGTCCCTGCCTGGTCAAGGTTTCTGGCATCATTTTGCAGGTTCTGACCTGTCCTGGTGTCCGACGCGGAGACAGACTTGGGTACCTCTCAAGAGGTGAGAGAGGGACAAAGTCCTCCGACCCCGACCCTCATGCCTGGAGAGGGGCTTCAGGGCTCTTGGCCCTAATTCTGAAGCAGGGGGGCTTCTGGACACCTAACAAGCTGATTCCAGGGCTGCGAGGCTGAGATCATGACTTTTCGACCTCTTTTTAGCAGTAGAACCTGTTTTTCCCATCGAATCTGATGCAGAAAACCCAGCTATAAATCAGATGGAGTAAGAGCTGTTCTGAGCAGTGTGGGACACAATTCCTTATGGGAAGTCCCTAATGGGATTCCCTTTTGACCCTGGTACAGACAGGTAATTCCATACACGTAGGGGACTGTCACTCCTCTGGGGGAAACAGCAAAACAGACCTTTCTAAATATGTTTTATTTTGAAGATCATATGATTTATCCCCCATCTCTGATTAGCTCATTGCTTCGCTGGGACTCACAGTTGGGGTCGGAAAGGCTGATTTAACCATACAGATTCTCAAGCTGGGCACGGTGGCTCAGGCCTGTAATCGCAAAACTTTGGGATACTGAGACAGGCGGATCATGAGGTCAAGAGATCAAGACCATCCTGGCTAACATGGTGAAACCCTGTCTCTACTAAAAATACAAAAATTACCTGGGCGTGGTGGCACGTGCCTGTAGTCCCAGCTACTCAAGAGGCTGAGGCAGGAGAATCACTTGAACCCAGGAGACAGAGGTTGCAGTGAGCTGAGATTACGCCACTGCACTCCATGCACTCCAGCCTGGTGACAGAACAAGACTCTATCTCAGGAAAGAAAAAAAAAAAACAGATTCTCAGGTCCCCCCTCTGAGCCGGGCCGGGGATAGTGAGGCACTTGCCTTTGGCCCAAAATTCAAGGGAACGCCCAAGAAATCAGTAATTGAGATCAATTATACTTTAATGTAATATTTTTTAAAAATAGAATTACTGCCAAAACATTCACAATGCATAACATTTCAAAACTGCATGGGATCTGTCTGCACGCACCTTTGTTCTGGTCTTGTCCTGACGCCCCTGGTCGGGCTTGATAGGTGTCCAGAAGCCTCCCAGCTTCGGAACTAGGGTATGTCCTGGCGAGACAGCTCTAACCAGCCAGTCTCCAAAGCAGCGCAGGTGGGAGTCTTTGGCACCGAATACCACAGCTGCCTCCCATCCCACTGATGGGTACCGGTGACACCTTTTCCGGCAGCAGGCACTGGAGACTGGGCCCTTGCTTTTGTGGGGCCCACACAGGGGTGGCAAGAGAGAGACGGTGAACATGTGGCCAGAAGAAAACCATTTCTGATGTTGGTGAACACAAGGCTGACCTGGGAGAGAGTAACCAGGTGGGGCACAGTCACTTCAGATGGTGTGATCAGGGAAGGACCTGCTGAGGAGGGGGCATTTACATGGAGACCTGGAGGAGAGGAAGAGGCAGCAGTCCAGGCCGAGGAGACAGCCAGTGCACAGGCCCAGAGGTGGAGAAGACCAGGACACTCACCAGCCGTCGAGGGAACACGAGGGCAGAGACACAGCCCCCTGCAGGGATGTGCCCAGAGAAGTCTCAGGTGCATTTTCAGAGTCCCCACTGTGATCCAGGCTCTGTCACAGCAGCAGGGACAAAACTGGACTCAGTCCCTGCCCTGGAGTTGCTGGTAATTTGGTGGAGGGAGAAAACCGAGTAAATAAAATATTTCCGCACATGTGGGATGACAGAGGGATGAGGCCACAGAAGCCTAGAAAGACACCAGCCAAAGAAAGCAGGATTTTCGCTCAGATTACCATTTGCTAAAATGGCCTCACATCTGTTTTCATGCTGAAAAAAGAAATCGGATTCCCACTAATACTTATCTCTCGCTCTCTCCTCTCACCAGCTCCCCCTCAGTCCTGTTAGCCTATATCCGGAATCCCATCACTTTCCTCCTCCCCTTCTCTCCCTCCTGGATGGTGGCAGGAGCACCTCCTGGTCTCCCTGCTCCCCTACCTCTCCCCTATGGCAGCAAGAGGACCCTGTTAGAACTCAAGTCCCATCACACCCCACGTCTGCTCAGTGTCCCACCCCTGTGCCTCCCCAACCCCAATTCTGACAGTCTATCTTGCTCACAGTCCAAGCCAGAGTCTCTCTCAGCCCCAGCCCCTGACTGGGTCTCCTTGCCTCCCCTTCCTCTCCTTTCCGGCTATGCTGACCTCAACAGACCAAGCACTATCCTGCCTCAGGGCCTTTGTGCCTGCTGTTCCCTCTGCCTGGAAGACCCTTCCCAAAGACAGACCCACGTCACTCACTCTCCTCACTCAGGTCTCTGCTCAAATGTCACCTGAACAGCGGGACCTTATCTGGCTTTCTCCCAGCTCTGTATAAAAGGCCATACTCCCGCCACGTCCCCAGGGTGTCAAACAGGTCTTCTTTTCTGTATTCTGCTGCTCTGTCATCTGGAACCTTGCTGACCCTGCAGGGACTGCCCCTCCCAGGGTTGGTCAACTCCTAGGGACAGTGGATAACTCGCCTGGAGTGCGCCTTTCCTATGCAAGCCACGGAACCCGGAACGCACACCCCAGCCACCTCCTTTACGGAGCTCTCAGAGTCCAGGCCACTGTCCATCTGCCCGAAGCACTCCAGGGCCCGGTACCAAACAGCCAAAGGCAGGCCTCATGCCTGGAACCTGCTGAAATTAGTCCAATCAGCCAACCCTGCACCTGCTCACCCTGTCTGGTGCCCATTCCTCTCCTTCCTCTCCACAGAAACCACTGTAAACACTCTGGCTCTCACTCCCCCAACTTCCTCACTGGCCTGGGTATGTCCCTGTGTGTCTCAGCTCCATAGCTTGACATGCCACCCTCCTCTTGGGAACTGTGAGTAGCAAACTATCTTTTCAATGGCAGTCATCACCAGATATGTTAGCCTCACCAAACCTGAATAAAATCAAACCAAGATTTTAAAACCCCCAGCCCCTTGCCCTACTTTATCATAATTTTCTAAAATCTGTATTATCAACGGACACATTAAATTCATATTTGCAGCCAGGCACGGTGGCTCTGCCTGTAATCTCAGCACTTCGGGAGACCGAGGCGGGCAGATCACTTGAGGCCAGGAGTTCAAGACCAGCCAGGCCAAAATGGTGAAGGCCCATCTCTACTAAAAATATAAAAATTAGCCGGGCATGGTGGGGCACACCTGTAGTCCCACCTACTTGGGAGGCTGAGGCAGGAGACTCACATGAACCTGGGAGGCAGAGGTTGTAGGGAGCAGAGATTGCGCCACTACGCTTCAGCCCGCGACAGAGCGAGACTCCATGCCAAAAAGTAAATAAGTAAAATAAATAAATAATACCTATTTATTGTTGGTTTTCTCTCCTCAGTTGATGGTCAGTTCCATGGTCAACACATAGTAGATGCTGAATAAATATCTGCAGGATAAGTGAATCTGTGAATCCTTTACTTCTGTCGAGAGCACTCCAAAAGCATCAGCCATATTTGTTCATATATACAGTGGCATGAATTTTACTAAGATCCATGCCAGGCTGGGCACGGTGGCTCACGCCTGTAATCCTAGCACTTTAGGAGGCCGAGACGGGTGGATCACGAGGTCAAGAGATCGAGACCTCCTGGTCAACATGGTGAAACCCCATCTCTACTAAAAATACAAAATTAGCTGGGCATGGTGGTGCGTACCTGTAGTCCCAGCTACTCGGGAGGCTGAGGCAGGAGAATTGCTTGAACCCAGGAGGCGGAGGTTGCAGTAGGCCAAGATTGCGCTACTGCACTCCAGCCTGGGTAACAAGAGCGAAACTCCATCTCAAAAAAGAAAAAAAAAGATCCATGCCTATTAACAGATGCCGCAATTACAACAGGCAAACAACTCCTCCCCCAACAGATCACCTAATGATTTCTGCCAGGAAACAGCCTCCACGTGTGAGGTTAGTCCTCCATCCACATCCTTGTATTTTGAATCGAACGTATGAAAAGATACAGCGGGACTTGTGTTTGCAACCATAAAATACAGCCTGAAAGATTTTTTATTCCTTTACAGAAAGAAGTGTGCCATCACCCCAAATGACCTGTAAAAATCCAAGCTCGATTTGTTGAAATAAATGTAAAACCACCAGGACTATCTCCGGGGTCTCAGTTACTTGGTAGCTGTAGTTACTCTACCGCATTTGTAATTGTATAGGCTTGGAACTCAACAAAGTAGTAACAAGTCAATTTAATAGGGGGCCAGAATGGCTGCTAAATGGACAGAGACTGCTTCTCCATCAAGATGATTCAATGGGAAATGCCTCACCTTCAAAGCTCGGGGATCTTTTGCAGCTGCCATAAAAATTACTCAGCAGGGCACTTAACCAATCTGTCTGGAGACAGTTGTGGGGAAGGGAAGGGAGGCAGTGGAAATAAAGCAATGCCTTTTTTCTCTTGCCCTCAGCTATTGAATCTCATCCCATCCAAGCTGCTGAGCTGTGGCTGGTTTTCAATGGAGACTAAATTGGGAGGCTCCGCTGAAAGCAAATCTAAGATTTACAGCCTTCCAGAAAAGACCTGGAGTAGACCTCTCAGCCTCCTCCACAAGCCCAAAGCAACAGCTGGTGTTTGCCCAGAATCCCAGGGCAGGGTCTGGGAGAGCGATGAGTGTGGCTCTGCAGGAGGGCCAGTTCATCTCCATCTCTATCTCCATGAGGCAGTTCTCGCGTATTCGCCTGCAGGGACCAGGGACAGATCTAGAGTGGGAAACAAGTAAAACCCCTGGTGTCCGAAGAACTGTTCTGTGCCCTGGGACTTCTGGACACCCTGGTGCTTGGAGGGCAAACTCTCTGGCTGCCTGCATGAAAGCTGTTCGCCCTTCTTCCCCACAAACAGGCCCCTCGTTTGTCCCAGTGTGCCCAGTCCCAGGGTTTATGACTCCCTTTCCTGGTGAGTCATCAGAGGTGAGACGTGACCCAGTCCCGGCCAATAGGACCTTAGAGGCAGTTGGTCTGAGATGACTAGGTGCGGGGGAAACTTTCCCTCTGTAAACAGCAAGCCTTTGAGCCCCTTTCTGCCTTGGGTGCTGTTGAAAGAGGACAGGGGTTGAAGAAGCTGTGGGGACCCTGCCCGGTGCAGCCAGCAGCCCCCTTCTATGTTGTCATAACTCCCAGCAGCCTCCTCTCCCACAGGAACCAAAGCATCTGGAGATGCCTGGGAAGTCACGCCCCCACCTGACCAGGGCAGCTCATGGCAATGACTGATTGACACAGGGGTACAAGTCTTCAGACCCCGCCTCAAGGTGGAGCTTAGTCTGCAACTCTATTCTTGCTGGGAGCTCCCTGTGGATCAGGCTGCAGTGAAGCTCCCGCTGAGACATTTTTGCTTCACTTCTTCCCCTGCCCAATCCTGCCTCTCTCCTCCTTTACAGGATTCTCCTAAGAGCAATCCCTCAACTCAGAGCATGCACTGAATCCTTACCTCACCTGCACATGAAACCCCACCCCACCCCACCCATATCCCCAGCTAGGGTATTTGCAGGGAGTCTGACCCAAGATGACAGGAGCTGTAGCTGGATGGTCACACTTGCGACTGGAAACAGCGAGTGGGAGGAAGGAAACCTGACCTGCTAACGGGGGGCGGGGGGCTGAGGACGCAAAGAGCCTGCTGCATCCATGAAGACAGCGCTGAGGTGCTGAACTCACCCAGACAATGTTTGTCTCTAGGATTTTAGCTACTGCTAATGAGGGGGACCAACTATCTTAGTTTGCCCAGGACTAAGAGAGTTTCCCAGAATGCTTCATCTCACATTTAATATTTCATGCTAAAACCAGAAAAGGCCCAGGAGAACCAGGCTGAGCTGGTCGCCCTACTGCTAGTCAGGCATTCTCTGTTTGCAGCCAGAGGCGTAGCCCAATGATGTGATTATGACCCCCATTTTATAGCTGGAGAAATGCAGGCACAAGAAGCCAAGTGAGCTGAGCACGAAGGATTAGGGTGGCTCCGGCCTGTCATCCCAGCACCTCGGGAGGTGGAGGAAGGTGGATCACTTGAGCTAAGAGTTTGAGACTAGCCTGGGCAACATGACAAATCTGTCTCTACAAAAAATATAAAAATGAGTCAGGTGTGGTGGTGCGCACCTGTGGTCCCAGCTCTTGAGGCTGAGGTGAGAAGATCACCTGAGCCCAGGGAGGCTGCAGTGAGCCTTATAGTACCACACTGAACTCCAGCCTGGGCAAGAGTGAGACCCTCTCTCAAAAAAACAAAACAAAACAAAAAACGCAAAGTGATGTTATGCAGCTATATAGCCAGTTAGAGGCTGAAGTCGCAATCTGATCTTTTGACCAATCCAGGGCTCTTTGTACAACACTCATTTCATGAAGGAGGCACTATTGGGCCCAGACACAACACTGACTACCAACTCTAGTGGGTGCTGGGCTGCTCTCGCTAGCACCCATTCCCAGAGTGTCTGGTGACAGCCACTGTGACCGAAACTCTAGTGGCCCATCCAACCATCCACTTTCCCCTTCCCCTTAGTAACAGGGCCCCAGTGTTATCCAGGCACATTGCCACCGGGAATAGAGACTGTACCTGCCAGTCTACAGCAAGGTATGGACAGATGAGTAAGTCCTGGCCAGGAATTTGTAAGCAGAGTTTTGTAGGGAACTTTGAGAAGCCTCCTTAAAAGAGAGAAGATGGTCCTTTTTTTACTTCCTGTTACTGGAACATAGATGTGATTGCTGGATCTCCAACAGCCCTCTTGGACCATTAGGTGACCACAAGGATAAAAGGCAAGGGCTGAGGGTGGGAGAACGGAAAGATGAGAGCCTGGGTCCTTGAGGACACTTTAGAGCTCGGTCTTGGACTCCTTCCTCAGCATGGGTGTGGGGATTTTTATAGCCTGGACAGCAAAGACTCTCTCTTCCTCTGGGAATATCAACCTGAGTAGTTTAGAGATGGGATCCTGAGAATGCAGCTAACACAAAAGAAACAGAATAAAAGAACAGAGAGAAAAACCAGGTTCTAACGACAACGATAAGTCCCTAGATCCCCCAGTTCCTGAAGCCATCCCTTTTCTTGAACTGTTTAGTTATCTTATCTGATAAATTCTCTTTTTACTTAAAGTAGCGGGGTTGGGTTTCTGTAATTTTTGCTGGCTGATGCATGCCTGAATCTGAATTAGAAGTCCAGGAAGGGTCCTGTGAACTTCAGTACTTTTCCTTTTGGCCTAACAGGACACTCTTTACAATAACAGTGTCTTAAAACCTGGGCTTAGCAGCCTAATGGGCCAAACACACTGGTCTTTAGGAAGAGACAATCCACAAAATGTTCTTCACTTTGTGGTTTGCTTTCAACAGAGAATGCTCTGAGATATCCAGCGGTCACATCCATGTTCCAGTCACAGGAAGAACAGAGAAGGACCACCTCTCCCACTTGAAGGAGCTGTACTGGACAGACACATGCTACTATGTGAGTGGGACCAGCTAGAGCAGCAGGAAGTATGACAAGCGCTGCGACAAACAGAAGGAACGTGGGCTTTGGAGCCAGAAACCTCAAATGTGATTCCTTGACGAGCCACTGCCTTGCTGTGTGACCCTGGGTAAATTACTGAACCTCCCTGAACTTCTAGTTTATCCTCTTTAAAAAGGGAACTAACATCCTTCCTATTGGAGTGATGTGAAGATTAAATGAAATAAAGCAGTACAGAAAGCACCAAGTATCCAGGCCATAGTAAGTGCTCATTAAACAGTAGCGATTGTTACTATTGTTCATAAAGTCAGGAGAACTCAACAGCAACAATGAAAAGGGTTTGTTCAATTAATAGTATACACAAGATAACGGAATGTGCTTTAGTCTTATTTTGTGTAACATTTCAAGGGATTTTCACATATTCCTCATTTGCCTGCAAGGCGCGGCTGCTAATTACAAATGCATTCTCACACTTCGCTACAACAGAGTTGGCAGCACTACAATTCAGAGATCTTTTCATTAGCAGTTAGGTAATGAGTGTGGGGGCACTGAGCTGCTGTACAATTACTCGGCATACAGATGGTGTCCCTGCCTTCTCCCACAGTGGCTGCCAGAATCCCTGAGCCAGGTGGATGAGTGGCTTCTACTCTGCTGCCAGCCAGCACAGAGTGGTATGATGCACCAGAGCCCGTGCCTGGATCCTGCTTCTACCACACACTAGCTGGGTGGCCTTGAGCTAGTTACTTAACTTCTCTGAGCATTGTTTTTCTCATCTGGAAAATGGAGATGATCACTTTCCTGAGGGCTGCGTGAGGACGGAGAGAGGAGTAAATGAGATACCTAGCAAGGTACCTGGCAAAGAGGATAAATACAGCAACGGTTTTTTGCTTTTGTTTTTTTCTTAAAGCAATTATATTCAGTAGAACTATGTTTCCAAATTGCAGAAAATACAATTCAAACTGGCTTTCAGACCAAAAAAAAAAAAAAAAAAAACACTTGTGAGGGGATTGGTTGGACGGAGGATATCTACGTGTTCACATAACTGAAAAGTTCAAAGGTGCTGCCAGCTTCAGGGACAGCTACACTGTATCGCAAGAAGTCAGTTTCTCTCCATCTTACAACTTCTGCCCTGTTAGCTCCACCCTGGTGTTCCCTGTGGCAATTCTTGGCAGTTCAAGACTCTCCCCTCATGCTGACAACAAGGCTGCAGCAACCCAGCCTCTCACCTTCTCAGGTTCTCAAAGTCCCAGGACTCACTCTGATTGGAGCAGCTTAGACCATGTGCCCATCCCTGAGCCAATCAGTGAGGCCATGAGAAGGCAGTGTTCTGACTGGCCAAGCCTTGGCCTATGGTCTGAAAGTGGTTGGACCTAGGGGTGTTCCTCTAGCGCCCTCTACTGAGAAAGCTTAACATTGCACTCACTTGTTAAGGATGCTTAACAGGAACTCTGTCCATTACTGCAAAGCAGGTATTGAAGGGTGACTTTGGAGCTGAGAGGGAATAAGTTGATAACTAATACACACCTTCAAGCCTGGCACTGTTGAGGCATCTGCCTGGCAGAAGCTGCAGTCAGAGAGAAACTCACAGCTGCAGCCCAGAGCAGAGAGAGAATGGGGAATAAATTCACCAATACCCATTTGCTGCTGGTACCTCCTGTTGCAAAATGATCCAGAAGCCAGAAGCCAGG